AACTCTATTTTAAAAAAGGTGATCCTTGACAAGGGGACAGCATGTCAACATGAATACATCTTCTTACGGGCTGCGCAGAAAGGAGGCGCCGATATACATAACTTAGCCCTTGATTATGGTCATTATGTAAACCGAATTACTAACAAAAGTTTGTTTGGTAACTAATTATAGCTCACTAAATCTCCGCCGCTCTTCACTTTAGCATAATGTATACAAACTTTTGTACACGCGGATCAGAATAAAACAAAGTGTTGACAGCATCCAGCAGTGGAAATTCACTTACACAAGACTTTTTTTTTCACTGAAGTGTTGACAATAAACATTTAATGAAGGCAGAGACTTGGATGTCTCCAGACAGTGTCAGAATACTTTAAACAGACCATTAGCATGGCTTCTTCTACTTCAAACAGAGCACACTATACCATAACATTATAAAAATACAAAGTATGAAACAAATAATCTGTTTATACAGATATTTTAAGCTGTTTTCACCAGCTCTGACATCCCCTGTATTTAGTATCAGAAACTTACTCATTTCAGATTACTCGCGCTTAAAAAATGTTAAATACAGTTAATGCAATATTAATCGCCCTTTGGTGATATAAAATGCAATATTTTCAGGCAGCTATTGAGCTTTTCTAGAGGAAGAGCTGATGAAAACAGTCACAGCTGAATAGTGGAGAGAAAAAAGCTCTGTATTTATTGCTTTTGTTTGGCTTTTGGCTACAGAGACAGGAACATTCTAATGGGGTAAGGACATTTATTTTATCTGCAATCTATTGCTGCTAGAGCAGGAGTGGCAGATGGGGTTTGGTGTTATATTCACAGAGTAATTTAGAGCAAATCCTAATAACTAATAATGATTTATGTTAATTTCAATCACTTATGTGACTTTATTAAAGCACGGCTGTAAGAGGAATAGAAGGGGAGGGGGTGAGAGGAGAAACTGGAGAGAGACAAGCTGTGTCTGTCTGAAACCGAACCGCATGCTTGCAAGGTTGCTGTGGTGGGCTCCAGTGTAATTTTTGAAGCGAGGAAGCAGGTTTTACTTATGAGACTCTATCGTCGGCGCTAATTTCTTAAAAGAAAAACCCCGTGTAGAAACCTCGTCCACCGACGAAAGACAAAGCAAAATAGAGCGGGAGCAAGAGAAGAAGAGAGCGTGCGAGAGAGACTCGTGTTACGCAAAATGTATTGATTGTGTGCGAGGAATCTGCGGTGCTGATGTTCTGGGCTCCCGAAAGAATAGAGGAGGCTACTGGCGGAACAGCTTGGAAAAGCCCAAATGTACATACAGGGTGCGAAACTTTTATTCTGGGTTGTTTCAGCGTGGTGGAGGTCTAGAGTTCTCTACTCACGTTGCATCGGCTTTACTCCTCACCACACATCTCTAGAAGGCTTTTCCCCACTGGGTTTTTTATTCTTATTAGGAAAAAAAAAGAAAAGAATTGCAATAAAAAAAGCAGCTATAGCAATGAGCCTTCCGTATTTGCCCCTATAATCTTCAGTTTCTTTAGCAACTGATAATACTGAAATGCACACAGTGCACTCCACTGAAGTGCACACACATAAACACAGGGGCACACGCCGTCGTGTGTGCATTGAAAGGAGAGATATTTGCAAAAGCCAGGAAACCTCAAAACAGCTAGCACTGCTCTGCATAGGATCGGTTTGATGTAGGTGAGAAGAGTACTTACACTGTTTTGAAAGGGAGGTGCTCTTTGCTTCTGGCAATTTACTTTCCCAGGTACCTTTATACGTTTTTCTGCCTTAAGGCACACAGTCTGAAAGTAAAACAACATCAAAGCTCCTTATTAACACTATTTTCCTGAAATCAGAAGATGAAGGTAGCTGGAGCGTTTAATCCGGTGTTAGCATTTATTTCCCAACAAAACAGCCAGAACAAAGTTGCAAAGAGTCGGGGCAGTTACCTTCAGGAAACTAAAAGGCAAAATGCAGGGAAGGATGTATGTTTCTGTCAGAATCCTTGAAATGAATATAATTAATATAATTCCACCCTCCAAACATCAGGTCTCTTCCTCACTGCCTGGTGCAATGGATGCTAGTTTCTTAACTTTTGGGTCATTTACAAAAATGTCTTTTCTGCACTGCAAGCTGGTGCTGCGCTATAAATGCGACCGGGTTCCACACAAGGCAATTTTTGTGTACTCTGTTGTAAAGGATTTATATATACAGCAATATTTTTTTTTCCTAGAATTGAAAAAAAAAAAAAAAAAAAAAAAAAAAAAAAAAAAAAAAAAGGAGGGAGGTAGATCACTATATTATGTACAATGAGTAATGTCGATGTTGCTTTCCATCTCTTCCTTTGAAAGCGTCACAAGACTTTCAAACCTGCCTGTGCGTGCACGCCTGCTTTTTGAACTCTGTCGCGGCGGAGGCGCCGCGGGCGGGCTGCGCTCAGGCGGAGCGGAGCGGTGGCGCTTCAGCACCGCGGAGAGCTCCGGCGGGGCCGCGGCGGGCGGCGCGGTCTGAGGGAAGGCTGTCCGTCTGGCTGGCTCTCTCTCTGTCCGTCTGTGGCTGCACAGAAGCCTGTAATATGTTAATGGCCGTAGGGTATGCCTGAGGTACCATCTCAAGCTGCTTCGCACACCATATGTCAGGCCGTTAGCCACATGGATCTATTAATCAAAGGGGGAGAGAGAGATGAGGAGAGAGGCGGCGGGGGAAGGGAGCTTTTCATACCCCACCCTATGTTGCTGTACACTTTCTCCTTTCATTTCCCTCAGATATAAAGACCCGGAGTACCTCGAACAGGCAGCTGTAATTCTCTTTTGATCTGCTCTTTTATACCCTCGTGTAACCAGCTCAGGTCAGCCGGTAGCGAGATTTCAGGCAGGAGGGGGAAATGTGTCACGTTTCCCCTGGCAGAGGATTTGGTTTTAAAGTGCTACTCAACTTCTGTGACAAAGAGGGTCTCTGTGCGCCCCTTCAGCCTTCTCCTTGCGGAGGGTGTCTCTGAGGGAAGCCTTTTTCTAGCGAGCCAAACATCATCCCCCCTATAGACAGCCAGAGCTCTGGCCGTCTTCACCACTTTTATCTCCCCTATTACCTATTGCCAAAAGTCATTTCTTCAAGAAAGGTTTGTCCCACGTGAGATCTACAAAAGTATTGGATCCACAATATTACCAGGAGAAGGGGAAGAAGCAGCCTGTGTAGAAGAAAGGTGTAAAAGTGCTTGTGTACATAAATTTTTTATGCAACCCTCAGAACGGGACCACCTAAACTTCTGTGTTTCAGGCAAATAAAGATGCCTCGATGTATCTAGAGTCAAGGCTCAGCGCCCAAGAAGAGGCACGGGCTCTCAGGTCTGGTTTCTGAACTTTGTTTGGAGGATAGGGTTTTCGGGGGAACTTCTCTTCAGGCTTAGGCTCCTTCTGAACCTTGTTGGCCAGTCCGTAGGTGACACGTCGGGGGCACTCGGGGGCACAACCCAGGCAACCGACACTTCCAACCCAATTCCGAGATCGCTGCCTTATTTATTTTTTTATTTATTTTGTCTTTCACAATGAATGAGGGAGAGCATTAAAGAGACTGACCTTTTGCTCAGGTACATGCCACATAAAGTTCTGAAATACTAGATTACTATAAAGTGGTACAGCGGCTCAGGAAAGTTGCCGAGCTGTGGAGGAGGGGAGGAGAGGATCACTTCAGTATGCTAGGATCCTGCAATACGGACCGTGGAGGTGGATGGGGCAAGTCCCTACCCCTGATCTCCAGGCCAAGTGATACACACGGATGTGCTGTTAATGGTGGAAAAACACCCGAAGAAAGGAGAAGGGCGTGGGCTACAGCAGGGACACGGTGCTTTTGCAGGCTTACATAAAAAGCAAAAGATCCTGTAGCTGGTTGAAATTCCCTCTATTGGTACGGGACACCACAGAGAGGCAAGTTAGAGGGAAGAAGAGCCTGAGACAATTTCTGCCATTGCGAACACAGGGCAGTAGTGCTATTGATATGTATTATATGGTAAAGAGCATAGGTTGTGTTGAA